GATACGTGACACTCCGATCCCCTAAATCTACGTGTCGGTTCGTGACACCCGATCCCCTAAATCTACGTGTCGGTTCGTGACACCCGATCCCCTAATTCTACGTGTCGGTTCGTGACACCCAATCCCCTAATTCTACGTGTCGGTTCGTGACACCCGATCCCCTAACCTCATTCTATCAACTCATCAAGCTTTCTTCCTTACCAAGGCATCATCATTAAAAGAGATTAGGTTTTTATCAAGATTTGGGACTCAGTAACTTCATCATGCTTAATATAATCACAATTATATAATCACGTTCATGCATGCATACAATTAAGCAGGGTTTTACAATACTACCAATACATATCATTCTCTATTAAGAGTTTACTATGAAAGCATGAAAACCATAACCTACCTCCACTGAAGATTAGTGATCAAGCAAGCAAATTTTTCTCCAAGCTTTGTTTCTCTTCGTTTCTCCTCTTTCTTGTTCGACTCTCTCTCTCTCTCTTTCTCTTGTTCTTTATATTTTCTTTATTCAAAACCCTCTTTCTTTTACCCTAATTAACATATAATTAAGAATAAAAGATGGCAATAATGCCCCACTAATTAACTTAAGGTTACCTCTTTTAACCCCCAAGTAATTAGACTTATTAACATTAACCCACTAACTTTATAATTAAGGCAAGAATAGTCAAAAACATCCCTTAAAACGTATCAAGAAATCCGACCCAGACTGGGATTTCGCAGTCTGTGACGGCCCGTCGCACCTGTGACGGCCCGTCGCACCTGCGACGGTCCGTCCTGCGACGGTCCGTCCTGCTGCCCGTCACAGAGTTCAGAGACTCAATTTCTCTGAAGAATCTGTGACGGTCCCTCCTGCCATTCCGTTACGAAGTTCAGAGAGTCGATTTCAGTACCCAATTTTTAGTTTTTCTAAGTGTTTTGAAACGAGACCCTGCGACGGTCCGTCGTGCCCATGACGGTCCGTCGTGCCCATGACGGTCCGTCGTGGGGTCCGTCGCCTCAGCCTGTTTTTCCAGAAATAAAATTTGCTGCTCAAAACGACTAAACAGGTCGTTACAGAAAGAGGGACTGCCAGGGAGAATATCCGTGTGCTATATGTACCCTGTCAAAAAGCAAAACAAAACAGAATTTTTTTTGAAACAACAATAAAACAAAAAGTTATAAAAGGCAAAAGTCAGTGAGAGGAAGGATAGAAAGGACAGAGGAAAAAACAAGTCATGTTGTGGAGTTATAGAGCTAGTTCCTTTAGTTTTTGAAAATTTTAGCCATACAAAGGTATAACAATGTAATATAAAAGACATATAGCATGTTCTACGTTAGTATCCTCCTTCAGAAAACCAATAATGTTAAAAGGGTGGAAACTAACCGTTTGATCATAAGCATCAATTCCTTCTGTGTCCAGCAGTAACAGGTTGTATTCTGTTCCATCAAGAGTTGTTCTCCTTAAAGGTGAACTCCACAGCCAAATACCTTTTGTGCATGCCGATGAGTTGCAGCCACTTGAAAACCGCTACTCCTGCCAAGAAGCTATTGGGCATATAACAGGCTCTCAGCTACATATTTTCAGTAAAGTAAGAAGCAACACTAAGTTACACATGATAATTTACATGGGAAAGTATACAACTATAAGTTAATAATAATAAAGATAATTGTGATGTCATTGCAATTGACCTAGTTAATTACATAAGTCAATGGAGTTTGTAAAAGAACAATAGCCAATGTACTATTGCTTTGAGTCATAATTTGACTGTGATTGATGTATGAAAAGTAGAAGAAACATTCTTTACATAGAGGATGACAAGTTCATTGCACAAGGAAAAGAAAATAAAGAAATTACAGAAGCAACACAAAGGAAACTGAACAATGCCGAATGGTCTCCCCTCTAACATATAATTCCTGTAACTTTCCAAAACATAAAAGTAGATAAATCATGAGTTGATACTTGATTCACAAAAGGATTCAGATTTCTTCTTCTCAAAATGGAAAATCAGAGTAGCCATCTTAGATTCTAATTTATCCATCATTTTATCGTGATTTGTCTCTCTTTTGATCCTCAGAACAAGTGTATTTTTTTTGACATCGAGTACAATCGATACCTTCCCAAAATTATCAAATACATGAAATTCTAAGACTATAGACAAACAATGATGATTTTCACATCCACAACAGAATCAGAGAGGAAAAGAAAAGATACATTACGCAATAAAGGATGTCTTGTACGTGATTTCTACTACTTCAATTAGAAAAATAAAATGGAAAAGAGCTCACTAAACATTCTGTTTTAAATTGATGTCCAGCTTGGTGAAACTAAAAATCATTGAAAATAAGAAGGGAGGCTTCAGCAAGTACGATACCTATATATCATCCATAAGTGTTCAGTGCATCTAATGCTTCAGGCGTGGAATTCACTAGGGTAACTGTGCAGCAAGAAGACATAGAAGGTGAAAAATCTCAATGTAAAAGAGAGTAAAGAATAAGAAAAACAAATCAACATTTCTTCATCATTGAATGTAACATTTGAAATGAAGCATTAACATTCTTTTAAGCCGTTGAAGAAAAGAGACCTTGAATCAGGAATTCACAATCATACATTTATATGGCATCTTCCTTTTAAGTTTTAAGAAATAGAGAGGCAATAACCAAAAAACAGTCTTTAAATATGAAGAATGAGATTTTTGAAATGTGTACCTAAGTTAGTTGTTATTGAATCATGTAACTTCATGGAAAGTGTTACAAATGGAAAACGGGGAAAAAATCCTAATGACAGATTTTAACTGCAAGGTAGAGAGGTTCAATATTAGCGCACTTAACATGTCATGATAAAAGACAACAAATATACTATATAATTAAGTACTAATGTAGTATTATACCCAATCTAATACTTCACCAAGATGGAAAATATAACAGAGTGATGCAATGCAGGAAATAACAATAGTAAGGTACATAATTTCGCATTATACTATAGAATGTCATGATAATTAGGAATGAATTTTTGTAAAAAAAATCATTCACCAACTTATTTTCATTGTAATTAAATAATTGTAATCCTAATCAAACTTAAGCTTTATCCAATTTTGAATCATCTTATGGAAAACGTCAAATGAACTGGCTGCAGAAATATTTCACTTAAACAGTTTTAAATCTTAGTTATAAGTTATATAAAGGAATCAACTATGAAAATCATAAGCCTAAAAATGTAAGATAAAATGAGGGGTATGTTGAAGTAAAACGTAAACCTAAAGTGTAAACTATAAAATTTAATCCGCAAATTGGTAAGAAAATAGATCCAGCGACCTACACAAAAGTGAAGAAATAACGCATAATACTTCTTTTGCCTTTCTGAGCGTCATAAAAAGATGTTAAAACACTTGAAATTTTTTTAAAAATAGCATCAAACATATACTAAAATGAGGAAAAATCATAGCAGAAGCAAGAGAAGAAGGAAAAGCTGACAACACAGATTTTTCAAGTTTATGTAGTACACTAACAACATCATTAAATAAAAATAATCCAAAAGAGCGAAGAACAAAAGCCCAAATAAACTCTGCAAAACATATATGTTAAATGTTGGAACACTGAAGAAGAAACATATAGACACCATTGACTGAAATCTGGTGAAAAAAACAGAACAAACCGCGGGTCAAAATACAACACAAAAAAAGAATCAGCGAAAGGCTAAAATACAATAGATATTCAACATCAAAATGAGGTGCGAGAAGTTAAATAACAAACAAACAGAGAAGATAAGCAAGAAAATTCACTGAACAATGAAAAAAGTTAAGAGCATTAGTTGGTTTAACGTAATGACTGGAAATTTTGATTACCTCATCATCACTTATTTCCACTTGTATAATCTGAAATAAGAAAATTTGAATCATTAAGAGGTAGTTCTTCTCTGTCATTTCCTTCAGCTAGAACTATAAAAATAGTTACCCTTATAGGGAAAGTTGTTGCTGCAATGTTAGCATTTAGGTTAGTGAAAATCAACAATTTCAAATTTGAGTAATTGGACAGGAACAATTTGAATTGAAAGATGAAATTTAAAACTTCAAATGTTGAAGTGATATGATTGCAATGTAACTTCTAGTTATCTTTAAAAACAATTGAAATAAAAGAATCCAAAATTTCACAACATCTAGCATAAGGATGCTTACTTGTTACACTTATTACTTTTAAAAGTATCATGACAATGCTTTTCGAATGATTTCATCATAAACTACATTATATGTAGAATGACCATCCGTGTCCTGTGCAGTTGGTGGATGTATTAATATTTTTACATTGTCTGAACATTTTGCTCGAGATAAAGACACATAAAGTTGTCATGTGAAAAAACTGGTTCACGCAAATATATTCCAACAAAATCTAATGTTTAACCTTGAGCTTTGTTTATAGTCATAGCAAAACATAATCTTATAGGAAATTGTATTCTTTTGAAGGGAACTGGAAGTTTCTCATCTTGTGATGCTAATAATGGTATCTTTGGAATAAAGACATGTTTATCTTTAAAATCACCACTGCAAATAGTAGCACTAATAACATTTGACTTAAAATCATGACATATCAATCGTGTACCATTGCATAAACCTTCAGTAGGATTTAAATTTCTTAATAATATAACAGGACAATTTTTTTTCAAA